TGAATATCGACCAAAGGAGAGGGCTTTCTCTGACCTCTCAGCAGTAGGTTGGATCTCTTTAGAGACTTTTCGGATGTTATGCCTGGCCCTGGGGCTAAGCGATCCAGAGGAAAGAGCTTCCTCGTACTTGGCTTGATCAAACTCTATAACGAGAGTTTCAATGGTCGTTCCAGCGAGATGGACATCGGATTGCGCCACCACTTCTTCGTCAGAGAAGCTAGTCCCCAGCGGAGTCGCCATCTTTTATTTGTGGAAAAATTTGTAATAAGAAAATAATGAAAGAATTGTATCTAATTTTATTCTCTCTAACTGCTTAGAAAAAGAATGTTTACAACTCTCTCAACTCTCGATTACAATTTGAATTCCTGATTACAAAAGAGAAGAGAATTGATCTGAATTCTCTCCTTTGTTTAAATCTGGGTTTTTCACGGTAGCGATGAGATGCCTCCCTCGAATGCTCGTGTCGAGTTTGCTTCTCGTTGACGATCCGAATATCTCAACTCACTAGAACGAATGACCTGTGTGGTCTAACTGATTGAGAACTCTTGATGAGTTTTGTAACTCAGAATGAGTAATAACTCTGGTGAAAAGAGTTGTTAGAACCAAAAAATAGTTCGGTTGAAAAGCCAAGTACCGAATATATGGAAATCTTCAGTTTGTTGAAGATTATTGCCTTCAGAATCTCTCCTCTCTCAGATCTGACCTCCCAAAACCCGATCTCCAAAAGTTGATCTCCAAAAATTAATCTCCAAAAAAGTATTCCTTAACTCTGTTGAGTTTGTTGATATTTATAGCGAAATTAGAGGTGTAACTGCCCCCATAATCTGCGCTTATATGAGGGTTTAGTCGCCCTATTAATCGGGTATAACAACCCACTTAAACCACTCCCCAGATCGTGGGTGAACAGCGGTTTTCTCAAAACCGTATTGATTGTGTTTGAACGAGTCAACGTCTTGACTTGCGTTCTAAACGCAGTGTCTGGAGTCACGTTGGCAGCGATATGAAGCTGCGGATGCAGCGGCTGAAGAGCTGCGTTTGCAGCGATATGAAGCTGTGTTTGCCCTCTCTGTCTATATATATGGATGACACCAATGACCAGTTGAGAAGGCCCTATTCAGACCATTTGTGATAATTGAGGCATCCCAATAACGCTCTATCAACTACAGGTTCTAGATCTTCCCGCTTTTCTAAAATCATTACACTGGTTATCAGCACCTCTAATAGTTGCTAATATAATATTAGTCATGTTGCTGTCGCAGCCATCAAGATCAATCATCTCACATATGAGGCTGCGTTTATGTTTGCAGCGGATGAAGCTGCGTTGGCAGCTTTTGGAGGCTGCGTTTGCGGCTGAACGTGAGCTGCGTTGGCAGCTTTTGGAGCTGAGTGTGCATTATTTGTAGCCAGGTTTGACCCGCGTTTCGCGATCGAATTGGTGTTGCGTCTTGATGATGGTACGCAGGGAGGACTTCCACGTCTTGGTTTGAAGAGACCATCAATTTATAGTCTCTTTCTGTTAGAACGTTGCAAGGATTATCATTTTGTAATCCTTGCTTTAGCTCTTTGAGAGTCATCAGATTACGACTCCCGATGTTGATTGTGAAGGTTGTTGATTAGAGCTTTCACCAGTTGTTGTGAAGGTCGTCAGATCATAACCTTCATCGATCTATGTGAAAGTCTTCAAATTGTAGCCTTCTGGAAGTCATTAGATTATAACTTCCATCATCAGTGTCTGATGGGGAATCAGCTATCCATTATTATTATTATTTTTTTGACAGCCTATATGAACGTCATCATCTGAGTCAAAGGAGATCATCCGAGACCAAGAAGAAACGAAGGAATGCGTACGAGACGTCGAGACACGTACAAAACAACAAAACAAGATCAAAACAAGGTATCGCCACCTACGAGTCGCATCAAAGTGACCCGCACCCATGCGGGTCACACTGAAGTGACCCGCATACTCAGGTTGCTGAAAACGCATTTCTCGATGGAATTTCGGGATTCTTTCGTTCTAGAGCCTCTCCAACTGCATTGAAGCTATGCTTAAATGTGGTTAAGTTGCTGTTGGCTAAGGATAAGGTCAAATCATCAATTCCTATCTTAAAACATTACATCCCGGAGCCTATAAATATAAGCCTAGCGCCCCTATTTTCAGGGGATCAGAAATTCGGAGAGGAGGGTGAGGTGCTGTCGGTTTAGAGAGTAAAATCCCATAAATTTCAGAGAGGCTAGCAGATCTTGGTGAACTCCAGGATAAAGAGGGAGCTTTTCGAAGGATCCGAGGTCTGTTCCACTATCCCTTGAGGTCCGAATTTATATTGATCTTGAGAAGAGTCATGATCTCACTTTGTTGAGATCATTTACTTCTGTTCTTGCTTCCTTTGTGAAGCAACAAACATCAAACCTTCGTGCATCAACCGGATCTGATCCGCGGTAGTCCCCGGATTCAACATCCCCGGCACATACAAAGATCCCACGCAAGCAGTGGGTGATAAACGTCCTTTGCGTGTGTTTCTAAAAAATTTTGTTTATTTCATTTGTGTAATCGAGAAGTCTTATAAAAGGCTAGACTCTCTTGAATCTGTAATTGATAAACAATTATAATGGATTCCACAATGAAATCAATTTCTGACACAAACAATGCCGATCTTCAATCTTGCACGACGTCGTCTTCTATCTTACAAACTCGCTCTTAGATTCATAAACATAGCTCTGATACCACTTGATAAGAAAATTTAGTCTCCCTGCCTACTACGAGCTACGCAACTCAAAAGCTAACCCACAATCAACAAGATATAAAAACAACCACAAACAAGAGAAACTAAGATTTACTTGGTTTAGTCGACAAACTTTGACCTACATCCATAGGACAACAATACGAGAAATACACTATGTGTCAAGGAGAACTACAAGAGGAACCACTTAACTCTCGTCTCTTAATCTCTCAGCCTCACATACATAATCAACTCTCATATTATCTCCAAAGCCCTCTCCTTACAATCTTTTGAACGGACAAAGATTGTGAAACCCTCTCCTAATGTTATAATCTTTCGCATGGATAAAGACTACGAAACCCTCATCTCTTTCATAATATTCTTGAATCAGGCTACGCAATCTGCTAACCTTAGATTACAAGGATAATGGTTCTCTCTCATCTGTTTGGTTTTTCTTCCAACAATAGAAGAATATATATATGGAAACCAAAACCCTATTTCTAGCTTAACTTTCTAATTAGAATAGGATTCAAACTTATAATCATGATGAGACTCATTCTCCTAATCATGATAGATCTCTAACCCTATCTAATTCTCATGATATTATACAAAGGATCAAAGACAATCCCAATGTAGGTAGCTGACGTATTTACCAAGCCATTGAAGTATGACGTATTTACTTTATTGCAAGACAAGCCTGACATAATTGAAGGATCAAGTTTAAGGGAGAATGCTGAAAATAAACTTGATTGAATTACCTTGGGAATTGAGAAGATCATTTAGTTATTTGAGGAGACAAATACATGAATATGTAGATGCATGAATGTTGTTGGAAAATTCAAGAGTCTTTGTTAGGAAATCTATGAGTCATTATAGTAGTATATATATGTGTGGGGAAAATAATTTAAGGACCCAAAATATGGGACCAATTGAGGGGACAGGTGAGGTGTCCCTTCCCTATTGCATAATGAGTTGGCCATGCCAACTCATTATGCAATAGGGAGGGGACACCTCACCTATCCCCTCCATTGGTCCCATATTTTGGGTCCCCGTGTGGTTTGTAAGTTGAGAATAGTCAAGAAAAGAAGGAAAAAAATTAATAGAATAATTTTATCCTCCTCTAAATTGTTTATCCTGAGCAAAATATTGATACCAATAGCATGTAAAGCACATACATTCACCGCGTAGTCTGTGCTAGTCTGTGCGTGAAGGGTTTTATTTATTTATAAATTTAAGGAATGAAGAAGATTTGATCTCTTCTAAGGGTCTGTTTGGTTATTTCCTAAAAACCAAGAAATGGAAATAAAAAAGTGGAAATCTCAAAAAGTACAATTTCATCCATTTCCATCCCTAAAACTCACCCACAACATCCAATAAAATATTATTTTCATCCAACAACTCATGCACAACATCTAATAAAAAAATATTTTCATCCAACAACTCATCTACCACATCTAATAAAATAGTATTTTCATCCACAATATCACTCAACTCATTTCATCTCATCATTTCAAATCACTCATATCATCCAATAAGATGGTGACAACTCATCTCATCTCATTAACATTTTATTTCCACTCATTTCCTCCCAAAAAATTAACTAGGAAAACGATTTCCTTAAGTGTGGGTCACATCATCCAATAATATAATAACAACTCATCTCATGTCAACTATTTTCTTATTTTTAAGAATGAACCAAACAAAAGAAAACAACCTATTATAAGAAATAGGTTTCTTATAATTTATTTCCTTATTTTTTTCCGCCAAACAAACAACATCAAAACAATTTTTCTTAAAAAATCACTCACATCATCCTATAATAAGATGACAATTAACATTATCTCATCTTCATTTATTTGATTTCCTTCTTTTTTTAGCCAACCAAACATTCCCAAAACAATTTCTTTCTCTCTCCTGAAAAGCCATAGATCTTAGAAATAGTTTTCGATCCATTTCTTTGATTTTCCCTTTTTTTTAAGGCAAACAAACAGCCCCTAAAGGAGAATGAAGCCAAGAGTGTGGCCCCCATGATACATGGATAAGTACGTCCCCTCCCAATAGCAAGAAGATCTACGGCGGAGGAATAAAAGTAAAAAAAGCACAGTAGCAGCTGCGGAAACACGGAACCGTCCAAAGTATCCCCTCATCACCCCCCACTACTTTGGAACTGTTTATCGTTTAATCCCAAAACAACTCAATAATTACTCCCCTACCTCCTTTTTAACTCCGACCTTAATATGTTCCCACACAACCACCACTCTTTTTTCTCAAACAAGCCCTAGTCTCTCAATCTTTTATACTCTTTTCCTGTTCTCCGAGTGATAAACTTGAGGGTTAATTTTAACAATGAGCTGCAGCGGTTGCAGAGTTCTGAGAAAAGGCTGCAGCGACTCCTGCGTTCTCCGGCCATCTATTGTTTGGATTGAGGCTGCTGAAGCTCAAGCTCATGCTACCGTCTTCGTTGCCAAGTTCTTCGGCCGCGCTGGTCTTCTCTCTTCTCTCTCTTCCGTCCCTGAATCTCAGTGCCCTGGTAGGTGTTCACTGGATCGTGTTTATTTGATAGCTTGTATTATTTAGAACTATCTAAATTCTGACTTTTATACTAGATAGAACTTAATTAGATAATCTTCAGTATACTAGTTATCCAGTGGATATTATATTATAGTGTATAGTTTCTTCTTCAAGTTACATGGATCTTACGGTTCTTTTCTGTGTCTATTTTCTTTGTGTATTTAGAGGAGAACCAATTTATTCCGAAGCTAATTCTTTATAAAGTTGTGAAAGCAAAACTCTTAATTTCTATAAATTCAGTTTATTCTGGACAAGAATACTACAAATGAACAAAAAAGATGGTTTATCCACTGTAAGAGATAATCCAACCCTAATCGTTACCTTTATCCATTAAGAATCTCGTACACCTGATTTTTCTCACATTTTCAGCTCTTTCCGATCTCTTCTACTAGAAGCCTGCGGCCGAGCGTGAACCCACTCAACTGGAGGAGGACTACTTTGGACGGGAAACTGGGACGCATGTGAGGCGGCAGTAGATTTCGTCCTCAGAGGAGGAATCCCTCGGCCCATGGCGCCTGAGCTCGGCGTGAGCACTGCAAATGGGCTTACTAGATTGGAGCCTGGCCCAATTACATCATCGTCGACATCGAAGAAGAAAGAAAAGCTGATATCTCTTGGTCAGTGCTTGACAAGGAGACCGAAGCGACGACGAACAGCGACACCATCGGATGAGTCGGCCATGACTAGTGAGTTACGCAGGGATGAGGCTCAGTTCGATGAGGAACAGACACAGCTTTTAGATCTATTTGTTTGAATTTGATGGTACTGAGAATGATTTGATGAGCGTTTAATTTGTTGGGTTTCGAATTTTGAGCGCAGGATGTGACAAATTCAACAAATTCAAGTGCGTGGAGTAGAAACTATATAGTCGATCATGATCTCCGTGATTCAAAGATTGTCTATTAAACTTGTAGGTTATAGGGTTGAATACGAATGAAGTACTGATCTAAAGATTATTTTAATTTTGGGTTAATTACTTGCACATAGGCCTCCTGTAATATTGTTGTTTGAACTTACCATATGGCCTCTAGTTTCGTTGTGCACATACACCTCTAGATTATTAATATTTTTAATTCTATTTTATTTTAGTTTATTTTATTAACTTTTATATGCTTCATGGATGAAATTTTGGCAAATATTGCCTGTGAGTAAAATCAGTGAGTCCATTTGAAGTTAAAAGAGTCAAAAAATTTAACAATAAAACTATAGGAGTTGTTATAAGTTCAAAACAAGGATACTACTAGTGGTAAATGTGCATTTAACCCTTTAAGTTTTGGACCGTCCTTTATATCTTGTAGATGAGTAATAGTAATTGCATTATACCTCGTAGTTTAGTTCTAAATGAAGATGAAATATATTCAACAATCTCCATCTTGTATCATTCATTTTAGTACTGAAATAGTATTAAAAGAAGCATATAGTGATGGTAGTGACGATGATTTGGTACCTTAGCAAAGCCTAATCTTATAGAACTATTTGTATGAGTACATATGATCATGAGACCCACGTGATCAGTTCTGTTCATAAGTTAATTTCTTTTGTGATACATGAGATCAAGTATTGGACGAGACAAGAAGAAAAACACTCGTGTCGACTCGGACTTCAGATTAGAAAAGAGTCATTTTGGTTATTTTCTTTTTTATTAGGAAAGAGTTTTTTTTTGGTTATTTCCTTTTTTATTAGGAAATAGTTCTTTTGGTTATATCCTTTTAGATTAGGAAAGAATTCTTTTGGTTATTTCCTTTTTGATTAGGAAAGAGTTCCTTTTTTTATTTTCTTTTAGATTCAAACTTTCTTTTTTATTAGAGTTAAGATAGATTTAGTTGGCTATAAATAATAGTTTCTTTTGTAAATCAAGTAATTAACTTTCAATTATTCAATCAAGAGAATTGTTCTCTATTGTTTTTCTTCTCAAGTTTGAGAAACTTAGGGCTTGTGAATTCAAGCTTGTTTTCTATCTGCTATTGCCAGGGTTCGTCGGCATCAGAACGATATCCGATCGGCTTCCCCATTTCTATGTCTGCGTCAAGTGGTATCAGAGCTTCGACTTTAACATCCTCGACAATGGCAGGTGACGGTGAGAAGGAGCTTTCTCTATAAGATCTTTCCGCGAGGATAGACTCTATAGATGGAAGATTTGGCACGTTGGAGGCGTCTCTTCTGAACCTTCAACAAGCCATTGAAGGACTTACCATTCACCTCAACAATGGGAATAACTTCACCGACGGTCTTCACCTACACGAACCCAGAGTTAGGCTACCCCGATATCCACCCCTGTATAATCCCCAACCCCTTCTAGTTCATCCCCCTCCATATCAACCACGTCCAAACCAAACCCCTCCATATCAGTCCCCTCTGTATCAACCTCTTCCATATCAACCCCCTCCACATCATAAACGACATCCCAACCAACCCCCTCCACATGATGAATCAAGTGACGAAGGAGCAGACTATGATACCCAAATTGAGGGAACATGGTATGACAACGTCTCGAGCGAAAAAGAAGGAGGGCAACCTTATGGTAGAGGTCGAGGCAGAGGCTTCAACCCTCATCGTAACTATCACTAATAGGGTGGACATCACCACGACCAAGAGTACTAGATGAAGGTGGAACTCCCCTCCTTTAGAGGAAATCTGGACATAGAGGCTTTCTTGGGTTGTCTATACGAAGTGAAGAAGTTCTTTGAGATGGCTAATGTACCCAAAGCAAATCAAGTGAAGTTTGTGACATATCGTCTCAAAGGAGAAGCCGCGGCATGGTGGGATCAGACTCAAAACACTAGGCGACGACAAGGTAAGCAACCAGTTCGGGTTTGACGACGCATGAAGCAATTACTCCATGCTAGGTTCCTACCACCCGACTACCAACAAATCCTTTACAACCGGTTCGAGCAATACCGTCAATTCATCAGATAAGCCCCTATACCAAAGAGTTCTTCCGTCTCTCTTCTCATTGTGATTTTTCGATGAGCAAGGAACAACTGGCAACCAAGTATATCAACAGTTTAAAGTACTCAATTCAAGAGAAGGTGGCCATCCACAACTTGTACTCTGTAGACGAAGCCCATAACATGGCTCTCAAGGAGAAAAGATTAGCCTCCAAGGTGTTACCTTTTAGACAAGCCAAACACGGAGGTTCGATCGAGAAGGTGAGAGGTGAGTCAGCCGGGCAAAGGATGACTGATCAGCCTATTTCTCCATGGTCGGCCGAGCGGTCGACAACTCAACCACAACCCCCGATAACTCAAGCAAATCTGTATGTTAAGCCAACTGTAGGGAAGTATTTCCAATGTCTCCAACTAGGGCATAAGTCCAACGAGTGCCCGCAACGGTGAAAGGTCAATCTAGCGGATTATGAAAAGCCGAGGATGGACACAGGACATCTGAAGAAGAGTATGAGGAAGAGGTTGCAAAGATTGAAGGCGACAATATGTCGTGTGTTGTTCAACGACTTCTATTCGCTCAGAAGACACTAGATTAATCACAACGGCACCAAATTTTCTTTTCTAGATGTTCAGTCAACAACAAGGTGTGCACCCTCATCATTGACAATGAAAGCTGTGAGAATATTGTGTCAAAGGCTTTGGTGGATCACTTAAAACTGCCAAATAAAATAAAGCCTGTGTCTTATACCATAGGATGGATCAAGAAGGGTCCCTCTGTGAAAATGACCGAAGTATGTCGCGTACCACTATCACTAGGCAAGACCTATAGTGATTTTGTTGCTTGTGATGTTATGGATATGGACGTGTGTCATGTATTATTAGGACGACCACGATAGTATGATGTTGACGCTAAGCATGGCGGCAAGAAGAATGAGTACTCTTTTGTGTGGATGAATAAAAAGATCATCCTACCACCTATTCCACCCTCTCCAAAGAGCCACAAAGATCAAAAGTCAAAATGTATATCTCTTTGTAACAAGGGAGAGTTTCTGGCCGAGTCAAAGGAGTTAAAGCAGAGGTTTGCCTAAATGTATATCTCTTTGTAACAAGGGAGAGTTTCTGGCCGAGTCAAAGGAGTTAAAGCAGAGGTTTGCCTTAGTTGTGAAAGAAGAAGTGAAGACACTCGTTTCTGGCCGAGTCAAAGGAGTTAAAGCAGAGGTTTGCCTTAGTTGTGAAAGAAGAAGTGAAGACACTCGTTGAGGTTCTAGAGAAGATGAAGTCGCTGCTTAAGGAGCTCGAAGTGTTGGTTTCCGAGGATCTCCCAGAGGGTCTTCCACCCATGAGGGATATTCAGTACCACATTGACTTCATCCCAGGTTCAATGCTCCCTAATCTCCCTCATTATAGCATGAACCCGTAGGAGAAGAAGGTTTTACAGGATACCATTGAGAAATCCAATGCAAAATTCAAGGCATGAGCAGATAAGAAGAGGTGGCCTAAGGTCCTTAAGAGCCTAAGGTCCTTAAGAAGATCAATGATAATGCATATGTAGTGCATCTTCCAGATGGAATGGCTATGTCGAAGACATTCAACGTGACGAATATTTCTAATTATCATCCTTCAATCAAGTTGTATATGAGTGATGTGGACTCAGAGACGAGTTCTTCTAAAGAAGGAGGGACTTATACAGGAGATCAAGCATTGGACAAGATAAGAAGAAAAGCACTCGTGTCGACTCAGACTTCAGATTAGGACAAAGTCCTTTTGGTTATTTCCTTTTTGATTAGGAAAGAGTTCTTTTTGTTTATTTCCTTTTTTTATTAGGTGATAGTTCTTTTGGTTCTTTTAGATTAGGAAAGAGTTATTTTGGTTATTACCTTTTTGGTTATTTCCTTTTAGATTCAAACTTTCTCTTTTATTAGAATTAGGATAGGTTTAGTTGGTTATAAATAATAGTTCCTTTTGTAAATCAAGTAATTAACTTTCAATTATTCAATCAAGAGAATTATTCTCCATTTTTTTTATTCTCAAGTTTGAAAAACATAGGGCTTGTGGATTCAAGCTTGTTTTCTACCTGCTATTGTCAGGGCTCGTCGGCATTGGAACGATATCCGATCAGCCTCCCTGTTTCTACGTCTACGTCATTTTGTTCCATTTTTTTGTTGGAGATTCAACCGCGTGGGAGGAAATAAACTAAATTAAGGATTATTCATTCTTGAGTCATTTTTAGTGTTGTAATTACCCTAAAGGGTGAGGGGTGAATAGGGTAATCAAACAAAAATGTGTAACTAATGAAAAATCAATGCAATTTAAGAAACTAATATAATAATAAGGTAATAATTAAAAGAGAGAGAGATATAGTTAGCCAATTAAGACGACAATGTGTTCACGAGGTTCAGTCCTCTCGACCTACGTCCCGATCACCTCTCCTGATGGTAATCCACTATACAACTTGGTTTTGAAGGCGGAACTTCTATACAATGATCTCCCCAAGATCGAATTCTCCATACAATAATCTCCTGGAGATCTAGGTCTCCATATAATACAAGATGAAGAAAAGTAATCTCTCTTACAAATATCCTACGGTGAGGATGAAGAGATGAACAATTTGAAGCTCAGGGGTTGTGGGATATCAAAGTAAAAATTGAAAATTTTAGACCTTGAGAATAAGTAGAAAAGTTAAGCTTAGAAGCCTTAAAAACAAACCTCAAGTTTTTCTCTTTTTTTTCTTGGATTTCTTAGTCTTCTTGGTTGGATGAGCAAATGAAATCTGAGGACTATTTATAGTCTCTCAACAACCCAGCTCAAATCCAAAGAAAATCCAAAATCCAAAGCAAATCCTAAAAAATCAGGAAACTGGAAACTAGCCATTACTATTGGCGACTGTGATCGGTCGATTGGTCGAGAAAATCAATCGACCGATCAGTTGACCATTGGGCAGAACTAGAAAATAGAATACACTATCGGTCAACTGATTGTGTGTATCGGTTGACTAATTTGTGTGTATCGGTCGACTGGTTGTGTGTATCGATCGAATGATTTGGAGACCAAGTGTAGGAGCTAAAAACCTACTCCTGGTTGGTCGGCTGATTTGAAAAACCGATCGAC